TTATCTATTTATTTTTGTTTTGTTTTTGTTGTTTTTTGGGGGGTGGTTGTTTTTGTTTTTTGCTTGTTAACCTTGGTAAAGATTTTAATCCGTGTTGCATTAGCTTTCAGATCTGTAAAAAGGTTTTCTATTGAAAAGACTTTACATTTTCCTTTATCTTCTCTGTACAATTATAACATTTAAATACAAACCACTGAACCATAGAAAAACAGAATTCAATGGTCTCAAAGAAATGCTCGTAAAATACTGACTTCAATTTTTGTGCCTTTTTTACCTAATCTACTTCAGCTGTACAATCTTTAAGGAGAGAAAGGAGTTTATTATTTGCAGAAATAGACTGAGAGCAGTAAAAGAACAGTGGTTAAATTACTGACCGGTTTGGCACATTTCCAGCAATATGAGCCACATAGATTATTTCTTATTTATTACAACTCTCTTCCTTCCCTGAATTAGACACCTATTTGACAGATTAATGCATACCACTTCCTTCAATTTTGAATCTAATTGAATACCTATCTATATTTCTGAGATGAGGTATTGTAATTATTTGCACACTTTACACTGTTCGGACTGTTTTCCTCCATCTTTGATGTCATATTCACGACGTTTCGGCTGTTGTACGCTCCGACCTTCTTCAGGTACCAAGGATGAGGACAGCAGTCCGAACAATGTAAATACTGTTGAATACTATTGAACAATGTAAATACTGTTGAATACTTTTAAGAAAATATCTGGTTGGATTTTTTTTCCTTCTTTTTCTTAAAATCTTCAAATTCATAGAGGCCTATTCAGGGCAATCGTAATTTGCCTAATTTAAACAATTAAATTTTAATCCAGTTTTCAAACACTTGAGGTAAAAACACAAAAAATAATTAATAATAATTAATAAATTAATAATGATTAAAATAATTAGTAAATATATCGTTAAAATATCTCAATGAAAAAACATAAGAAATAATTCTGATCTTCTAAAATTCTGATTTTTTTTTATCTTTGGGAAAAATATTTTGTAATTAAAACTTGGAATCTTGGTATATTGTTGTCAGTAAAAGGAATACCCTAAGATATAAAGTACGAATTGGAGATACCCAAATCAAATATATATATATATATATATATATATATATATATATATATATATATATATATATATATATATATATATATAAGAAAAGAGGTTATAGTGGTTCCAACGAGAGAAAAGTGTGTATATTAAAGAAGAGAGGTACTGCAAACGTTTTGGGTTGTAATGTGGATTTTTTTTAAAATATTATGCTTTATTTTTCATAAAGCATAATATTTTCTTATTTTCCATAAAGCATAATATTTTTTTTTTTAAAAATCCACATTACAGCCGAAAACGTTTGTGGTACCTCTTTTCTTTTTTTATATATATATATATATATATATATATATATATATATATATATATATATATATATATATTCAGTTGTATGTATATGAGTTTGTAATCCTGGGTTTAACGCTTTTGCGATCATTAGACAAATGGTTTATTTTTTTTAAATTGAATATATTAGTTTTTGTTTGATTATGCTTAGTGGTTGGGGGGATTCTCCTATGTCTCCGTTTTGTGATGACACCCATACGCACGCAGATATACATACATACAGCTGTACGCATTATAGTTCACACAAACACAAACATATAAACAATGCGAGATTAGGCGCCGATATATAGCCATGTGTTTGAGCATACATACATTCGCAATTGTAATCCTATTTCGGTGTTCAGACTGTATGTAGCGAAGTTCTTTCAATCCATACATACATACATATATATATATATTTTTTCCTTCTCTCTCTCTCTCTCTCTCTCTCTCTATCTATCTATCTATCTATCTATCTATCTATATATATATATATATATATATATATATATATATATATATATATATATAAAAATATCGTTTTAACGTGTGCTATATTTATGGGTAAAAGGACTCAGTATCAGGCATAGAACGTGTAGACACTCAGTGATTAATCGTGCATAGTGTAAAAGTGGACACCGGGCGTCGACAGTCTGTTTTAAGCATGAAACAGACTGTCTATATATGAATGTGTGTGTGTGGACACTGAGGTCAGGGCTAAGCAGCGACAGTCTATGCACGCTCAATCACTGAGTGTCTACACGTTTTATCATATATATATATATATATATATATATATATAGATAGATAGATAGATAGATAGATAGATAGATAGATAGATAGATAGATAGAGAGATAGAGAAAGAGAGAGAGAGAGAAGGAAAAAGAATATATATATATATAGAGAGAGAGGGGGGTCCGGGAAAGAGTAAGGTGTTTCGTCCTCTGGTGGACTTTATAAAGGCAAACGTAAGGATTTCATTATGCAACAAGTATTTATAAAGAAAAGTAAAACAGATTTTTTTGAAGTTTTAAAACTTAAGAACACTGATAAGTATAAATTAGGTAAACTGAAAAGTTGAAGAAGAAATATATATAGAAAACACTTTCAAAGACTTTCAATTCCTCATTATTTCATCCACAACGCTAAGAGACATGCAAAACCTACAACCGCAAAAAGATATTGACATTCTTAACAACAACTATAACAATGCCAATAAACTAAATAAAAACAGAGACATAATACTCTCTAGTAACTCCTTAACTTCTACTATCCAAAACAATTTATCTAATATTAACAATATCAAAATAATTACAACCTCATCCAGAACTGGATATGATTAGAATCAACAATGTCCATAACAAAAATAATTCTAAAGCAGATCAGAGCAGATAACATTACAAAGATTTTAGAGTTCCATGAAAATAAGTGGATACAACATCTAAAAACACACTATCCAGCCGAGCTAAACCATAAATTTAACAATATAGATAGTAGTAATATATAACTTTACAAATCAAAACCTACCCACATTTCTCACCCACACAAGGCAGACATGCGTACGGAGGTGTTGAGGCCTCACACTTATACACACACTCACACGAATATACACACTTACATACATCATACTCATTCACTCTCTAATGAGCCAAATGATAACACACACCCACAGCAATATACACGCTTACACATATCATACTCACTCACTCTCTAAGAACCAAATAACACACACACAAACACTAAACAGAGACACATCCCCAATAAAACTGTCAAAATGACCAAAGGAATTCAGGGAAGCATTGATCCATCCAGCTCTTATCACAAATAACAACTTAAAAGAGATTGTTTGACCAACAGAAGGAATGTTAAAAGATTCATGTTAAAAAGATTAAAAAAAAATTTAAAAAAAACAACTGAAAACTACAGACAAAAGTTCATTTTCTCCATCAAGACATTCATTTCTGTAGTTCACTGCTACCAGCAAGCAGAAATATTTCTTCTCCCGATGATGGCCATTTTGGCCGAAACTAGTCAAGGAATCTAAATGAAATAATAATAAAAAAAAACGAAAGAATATTAATCTACAACCCAGTGTGTCTGAAGATTTTAATTTTTTAATATTTTTTATTGTTCAATATATATATATATATATATATATATATATATATATACATATATATTGAACAATAAAAAATATTTTTTAAAAATATAAACAGTCACAAAGATTCCTTAGAATACATTGTAGAATTTTTTAAAACATGGCATCTATAAGCACAAAACGGATCTTATCCAAAACAATTTATCCACTATTAACAACATCAAAATAATTACAACCTCATCCCGAACTAGGATGGACATGATTAGAATCAACAATGTCCATAACAATAACAATTCTGAAGCAGATAGATAGATAGATAGATAGATAGATAGATAGATAGATAGATAGATACAGGTCTCTGTATTCGTCCCTTCAAAAAGTGTGGATGGTCCTGCACGAAGCCTTCACCACTATAATCAAATCTCATGTGCCGGTGTCGGACTGTCGCTTTCCTGGAAACTGATCTGCTTGAGCCTCATCTCCCTCCAGCTATGGGTAAAATAGCAGGACAGACTGGGTTCTATAGCCTTGGATGGCAACTGGTCTAGGAGAAGGACATCTCTGAATTCAAAACCTGCGAAGGGTCGTTTGGGAACCTTGTGGCACTCAGTGCACCAGGTCTCTGTATTCGTCCCTTCAAAAAATGTGGATACTTGTAAAATAAAATCTTTAATCTTGCCATGTGAGGATGAAATTCGTCAGCTAAAATAAGCTTTTGCCTTTATTCATATTGTCATTTACAGATATATTTTATTTATATATGAAATGTTATTCATATATATGTGAGTGTATTTGTGCGTATATGTGCGCGTGTGCGTGTGTGAGAAATATAGGACAGTCATGCATGAAACTGACTGTCGCCGCTCGGGGTTGACATAAGTGTCCCCTTTTCGAACTGAACCCTTTATTTCATCAAACATGGCACGTGGAACTAGAACAGTCTACCCATGTGAGCGGCCGAAACGTTGTGATAAATATGGCGACAAAGATGAGGACAATAGTCCGAATAATGTAAATAATGTACATAATATCTCATCTCAGAAATACACACACACACACACACACACAGCCTGTCGCCTCTGAGTGTTGACATCAATGTTCACTTTTATATTTATATATATATATATATATATATATATATATATTCAAATGTGTCCGAGGAAATATTGGAGCTGAATCGTCATATCCTTTATATGAAAGGTTACAATTTGAGTGAATTACAAATTTACTTGACTTCCGTCTGTTCCCCCTTATATTTTCCGCACGACAACAAAAAATGTTTTGAAAAATATATCCTAGGAGAAAATATGCGACAGGAATTTGTAAAAATCAAAAATTAAATTAGTTTAGATTATGAATATTTAATTCGATGCAAAAAGATTTTTAAATATTTGGGGTTTTATATTAACAAGGAAAAGAAAGATTTACGCCATTACGTTGCATGTCGGCAAGTTAAATAGTCGATCGATGGATTCGAAGAGACTCGCTCGATGTTAGTCACGCAATCTAAATGT